CCCACCCCTGCTGCCAATCCTCAACAGAAATGCTCACAACAATGAAAACCTCGGATAGGAGGAAGAGCGCAGCTGGGTGGGCAGGCAGGCGTCTTGCTCGGCTGTGGCTTGGGGGGCACTTTTTTCAGTGCCATTGTAACTTTGAACAGTCACTAAGCGAACTGTTGTAAGTCGAGGACTACCTGTACTTTATCCCTTTTTTCCTTTTTTTTTTTTTTTGCTAGGCGACTGGTGGTACTTGGATGTTGCCGTATCCTAAAAGTGGTACAATGGGTGAAAAGGTTGAAAAGCCCTGTTCTAGTCCAACCCCCTGCTCAAGCAGGAGACCCTATATACCAAATCAGACTGTCCAATATCCTTAAAACCTTCCACTGATGGCGCACCCACAACTTCGGTAGGCCAGCCCTTTTGCTTGTCTCTTGCTTCTCCCCAGGGAAATCCAGTTGCTGTGGGGTCGTTTCCTCCCTCCAGGAAGGGAGGACCTCCTGGGGGCAGCAGAGGCCAAAGGGGGCTTTCTCCCGACTTCCTTCTCCTTGGAAAAGGAGACGGTTTGTTCCAGCAGATCTTTGGGTGGTTGGGACACCTGTGCTTATTTTATCTCGGTTCTGTGGCTCGTGCGGTTTTTTTTCTTCCTTTCTTCTGTGGGGTGCACCACCTGAACTCCGAGCGATCAGAATGGTACCCACAAATAGTAAACAATCCCCTCCCCCTCAATATTGGTAATTTTGCATATCACTGGGATTGGGATTACACACCTGTGGAAGCATCTGCTGTCCTTCCTAGTTTCCTGCTCTCCAGGAAAGCCCAGGATTTGCAGCTTTCTTTTGTCTATGAAGTGCCCCTCCTTTTTTTTTTTTTTTTAAAAAAAATATATTTTATTAGATTTTATATGGGTAGGGAAAAGGTGGGGTCGGTGCAGGTACAGGAAAATCGGGATAAAGGGGACAGGGTGTGGATAACTACAGTAAATACATAATTCAGCGAACAAGCTGTCGTCCGGGTCTTCATATTGAATATTATTGTTTATATAATACTAGACATTTATAAGAATAAATCGATATAAATCGACCTGGAAAAATGGGAAAATCTCCAACTATCATTGTTAGGAAGAATAGCGACTGTTAAAATGAACATTTTACTAAAGCTAATTTTTTTTATTTCAAACAGTTCCTGTAAAGCTGGGTAAGAAATTTTTTGACGATTTAAACGCAATGATATTAAGATTTAAATGGCAAAGAAAGAAAGAAAGAATGAAATGTAAACTTTTACAAGACTCGAAAGATAGAGGGGGTTTTGGACTTCCGGATTGGAGACTTTATTATCAAGCAGCTATTTTGCTTTGGCTTAAAGAATGGATTACTCTGAGAAATAAGCGAATTCTCTATTTAGAAGGATATGACCTTCAACTAGGCTGGCATGCCTTTTTATGGTACGAGAAAGCTAAAATACATAAGTATTTTCAAAACCATGCTATAAGAAATGTTTTAGTCTGTGAATGGGAGAAAGTTAGACACAAAATGTATATGAAAATTCCTGAGTGGCTTTCAACGATGGAAGCATTTGCTTATCCGAATTTGATTAATTATGATAAACTTGTTAGTTATAAAGACATTTTGGACAAGGACGGAAAACTCAAAGACAGGCAAGCCCTTCAACAAGGTATTGACTTAACATGGTGGTCCTATTTGCAAATTCAAACAAGATATGAAAAAGACATACAAATAATGGGATTTTACAAAGAGCTGACTCCACTTGATAAAATACTTTTAAAAACAGATGAACATTTGATTAAGAAGCTTTATAAATACTTATTAAATTGGAAGATGGAAGAAGAACAAGTAAAAGAGACAATGACAGTATGGGCGAAGAACTTTGGATATTCTATAGAATTAGAAGACTGGCAAAAACTGTGGGATAAAAATATCAAACTTACTAAAGCAGTAACATACAAAGAAAACTTATATAAAATGTTTTATACATGGCATATGACACCAGTTCGCTTAGCGAAAATGTTTAAAAATTTATCAGATACATGTTGGAAATGTAAGCAAAAACCGGGTACTTATTATCATGCCTGGTGGACATGTTCTATTGCAAAAAACATATTGGTCTAAGATTCATAGATGGTTAGAAAAAAATGATGAAAATCCAGATAGAATTTAAACCGGAACTGTTCCTGTTAGGTATATTAAGACCTAACTCCGGCAAAGAAAATGATTATTTAATATTACATGTATTAACAGCTGCAAGAATAGTATTCGCCCAATTTTTGAAAAATGAAAACCTACCATCAGACCAGATTATAATTTTGAAAATCCTAGAATGTGCAGAAATGGACAGATTAACGTTAGAGATGAAGGAGAAAGAAGATTCAATCTTTTATAAAACCTGGGGGAAATTTTATCAGTGGGTTGAAACACGTTAGAATAGGAAGAGATTTTAGAGCTTTATTATATTAAGTATTAAGGTTGATGATTGGAAATAGTTGTTATGCTATCAACTATCTTAATTATTTAAAGGAATATTAGTGTTTTACCAAATGTCAAGTGCCCCTCCTTTGAGGAGAGCCCCCAGTGCTAGTTGCAGGCACAGGAGGCCCCATCCTTGGCTGGCTCCCTCTTCCTAAGCGCAGTGTTTCTCAACCTTGACAATTTTAAGGCATGTGGACTTCAACTCCCAGAATTCCACAGCCAGCAAAGCTGGCTGTGGAATTCTGGGAGTTGAAGTCCACATGCCTTAAAATTGTCAAGGTTGAGAAACACTGGACCTAAGGAGATGGAGGAGGAGGAGGGAAGGGTTGTTTTTTTTTTTGCAGCGTTTTAGGAGTGTCTGTTAAAATGAATGTTTAAATGTTAAAAGGAGTGGCTCCATTGAGAAGACCAGGGAGAAGCGGCACATAGTTTGGGTAGCGCAGCTGTCAGCGGTGCCCTGATTCACTTGAGTGGCAGGCAGAGAGCCTGTGTTGAGGACGGCTGGGTCCCCCCTTCCCTCCACCTGCCTATGACTAGAGAGACCCCAGATCGGATGAGCATCCCCCGCAGAACCAGCTGAGAGGGGCTCTTCAGGGATTGTAAAGCCTCGTCTGCTGCTTCTGCCCTGTTCTTGGGGAAAAAGGCTTCTGGTTGCAGCAACTTCAGCTTTCTGGGGACCTTCCTGTGGTGTCCCAGAAGCCCAGCTAAGTTTGTGGTGGAATTTCTCTCGAGAAAGGGCCCAGGAAATTCCAAAGAGCCAGAAAACAAAGAACAGAACAGAAGGGAAGGGACCCTTGGAGGTCTTCTAGAAGCTGGAAGGGACCTTGGAGGTCTTCTAGTCCAGCCCCCTGCTCAAGCAGGAGAACCATTACCATCTCACACAAGTGACTGTCCAGTCTCTTCTTAAAAACCTCCATTGATAGAGCACCTGCAACTTTTGGTGGCAACCTGTTCCACTGGTTAATTGTCTTCACTGTTAGGAACTTTCTCCTTAATTCCAGGTTGCTTCTCTCCTTGGTCAGTTTCCAACCATTGTTTTTTGTCCTTCCCTCTAGTGCTTTGGAGAATAACGTGACCCCTCTGCCTTGTGGCAGCCCCTCAGATACTGGAACACTGCTATCATGTCTCCCCTATTTCTTCTTTTCTTTAGACTAGCCAAACCCAAGTCCTGCAGCCATTCTTCGTATGTTTTAGTCTCCAGGCCTTGGATCATCTTAGTTGCTCTTCTCTGAACTTTTTCCAAGGTCTTAACATCTTTTTTGTAGTATGGTGACCAAAATTGGCTGCGGTATTCCAGGTGTGGCCTCACTAGGGTTTTATAAAGCGGTACTAATACCTCACGTGATCTTGATTCTATGCCTCTATTTAAACCAGGACTGTATTACCTTTTTTTGGCTGCTGCTGCACACTGCTGACTCATAGTCAAGTGATAGTCTACTAGGACTCCAAGGTCCCTCTCACAGTTACTGTTTTTGAGCCAGGTGTCACCTAATCTGTACTTATACCTTTGGTTTTTCCTGCCTAAATGTAAAAGTTTGCTTTTCTCCACATTAAACTTCATTTTGGTGGATAGGACCCATTGTTCAAGTTTGTCAAGATCTTTTGGGATCCTGAGTTTGTCTTCTGGGGTGTTGGCTACTCCTGCCAGTTTGGTGTCATCTGCAAATTTGATGAGTTCCCCTTCAATTCCCTCATCTAAGTCATTGATGAAGATATTGAAGAGTTTACTGGGCCTAAGACGGAACCTTGTGGTACCCCACTACTCACTTCCCTCCATGTAGACGTAGTGCCATTGAGGACTACTCGCTGAGTACGGTTTGTCAGCCAGCTACAAATCCATCTGGTGGTGATGTTGTCTATTCCACGTTTTCTAGCTTACCAAGCAATAGTCTACTTTGTCGAATGCCTTAATGATATCTAAGTATACTATTTCCACAGCATTTCGCTGGTCTATTAGTTTAGTCACTTTCTCGAAGAATGAAATAAGAATGGCCCAGAAAAACTTTTATTTTGCCCTGTATGGACTCTGTCCATGGTTCCTACTTTAAGGATTAGCTTGTCCTCCCTGCAGGGTTTCCTCTGCCCATTCAGGATGGGAAGCAGAAGAGCAAGGGGTTTGGGGGGGGGCCCTCAGGAGCATGAAAAGGGGAGGAAGCACCTCCAGGCCTCCTCTCTCCCACAAGCGGTGGTGGCACTCACACAATACCTGCCTTTGTCAGGAGCCCCCCCCCTGCAAATACATCTCCTGATCACTGCAGGAAGCCCCCTCCCTTTGCCTGGCCTGGAGCCTGCCTGGGCAGGTGGAACTCTGGAGTGGCCCCATCAGGAGGGAGCCCGGTCTCCTCAGCGCTGGAGGAAGGAGGGCGAGGAAAGGTGTTTTCACCTGGAGCTCCAGGGAGGAGCCGTCCTTCAGCAGCAGGAGGCTGGCAGGAGGAAGGGGCGGCCCTGCAGGTCAGCCTGGTATATAAGCGGGCCCCATCCCTGGAGCCCCGGGAAGGGCAGTTGCACTAGCAGGCTTGGACGGCTGCCCATGGGGGAGAAGCATGGAGGGAGCCACAGGGCCCTGCTCAACCAGGGAGAGGAGGCTGAAATGGTGAGTCCGCCCCCCCCATTGCTCGCTCTTCCCCACCGTCGCCCCGGAGGCCGCCTCTTGCTCCGGGGAAAAGCGTCCCCGCAGGGCTGGCCCCAAGGCTCCGGCAACGGGGCAGAGGGGACGGGGCTGGCCGAAGGGGGTGAAACTCTTTCCAAGGAAACCGGCTCTGGTGCTGAGAGCGCGGCAGCTGCCCTCTGTCTGCACTGCGAAGCCCTCCTCGGCGGAACTTGGCCGTCGCCGACTCTTCCTGGGAGGGGGCCTCGCTGGAAAGGGCGCAGACCCCCCCCAACCAGCAGAGCAAAAAAAAAAAAAAAAGGGGGGGGGTCTTTTTCCCGGGCTTGATTGCACAAAGGATTATAGTTGCGTCGCCGCCACTGGGACATTCTGATTCCTCCCCAGCTGCGCTCAAGACGTTGCCCGGAGCTAAGAGCGGCCTGAAGGCGCAACGCCCCCCCCCAATAAGTACTGTGTGTGTGTTGGGGGGGGGGTCTCGTTTCCCCCGCTTTGCTGGCTGAGCTGTGACCAGACCCGGGCTGAAGCCGGGGAGCCCGCGCGGCCGCGGCTGCTATTCCGAAGCGCCGGCTCTGCCCGCCAGCTGGGGCTCTCGGGGAGGCGAAGGGGGCGCCGTCCCAGCCGCTGCCCGCCGCCCTCCTCGCTGGAGCAGGGAGGCTGCCAGCTCCGCTGCCCCTGCCGGGTCTTCGGCGGGGGGTTTTTTTGCGGGAGCCCCCCCCGTTCCCCTTCGCCAGTCCGCGCTCCGAGGCGCTTTCTGCCCCCCCCCCGCAGCTGCTCCCCATCCCGCCCGCAGCCTTCCTCTCCGCTGACGGAGGGGGCCTAATTTGAGAGGGAGGTCACGGGGGGGAGGGAGGGGGTCCCGCTCGTCGCAGAGAGAAGACGTTGACCTCGAGGCGCCCCGTCCGCCCCCCCCCCGAAGCCACAGCGGGGCGCCTGGGCAGGTGGTGGGGGGGGTGGGGGGCTTCCTCCGGCCTCGTCTGCCCGGGGGGGTCCCCTCTGCGGGAGCGGGGGCCAAGGGTCGGCCGGCGTCCTTCGGAAACCCCGAGCCCAGCCCGGCTCCCCCGGGCCTGGCTGCGCTCCTCCCCCGGCCTCCGTCTCCTCTGCCGGAGCCGAGCGAGGGACGCGGCGCCCCGAAGGCCGCCTCCGGCCTCTCGCCGCCCCGTCTTCTCTCCGCCTGCGACTCGTAGGGTTGCCAGGGCTGCTTCCCAAAAATAGCGGACAAGCGGGGGGGGGGCGGTTAAGTAGTAAAAAAAGTAGACTGTACAGCTTTAGATTACGTACCATTTCATCCTAAAGCTTTCGAATAAAAAAAAAAGTCCACTATTTTGTGAAAAAAAATAGCGGACATAATGTGAAAAAAGCGGACTGTCCACTCAAATAGTGGACCCCTGGCAACCCTACCTGCGAGGCAGACCGGCCGAGAGGCAGCCCGCCCCGCAGCTCTCTGGAAGCGGCGCACGGGCTCTGTCGGGCCCCCGGAGAGGCTGGGCAGAGTTGGGGGGCGGGGGGGGGCACCGCAGGCAGAAAGCGGCTCTCCCTGGCCTTTTTTCGGGAGGGGCGGAGGTGGCAAAGCCCCCCCCCCGGTCTCTCCATACTCCGTAGGAGACGCACCTTTTCCAAGTTATGCATTTAACTTTCATTTTCAGCACTTGGCAAGGCCAAGGAACCCAGAGCGTAACATTAAATTGTATGTTAAATTAACATGTAATAAATATCAAAATTAATTTGATTAATAGATAATAGACAAGGTTCATTAAGGTTAATCGAAACTAATTTAATTGACCTTATATGCCGCCCATCTTGCTGCCCAGTGACTGTGGGCAGCTTACAACCTCTGTAGGGGTACCCAGCAGAGGGGCGTGTTTGGGTGTGAAGCCTCATTTTCTCAGTGCTGAAATTTGGACTCTGTGCCCGGCCCGGAAGGCTCTCCTGCCCCCTTCTGGCCCTTCCCTCTTTGACACTCACTGCCCTCCCCCTCCCTTGGCTTTCCTCCCTGGATGGAATGGGTCAGCTCACCCCGGACAACTCTCTGCAGGACAATCCAACCATTCAATTTAATTATTTAAAATAATTTTAAAATTACAGTATTTTAATTTTCGTCATCCAGGTTTCATTTTGTCTCTCCTTTCTCATCCTTTCTTTGATGATTCTATCCCACCATTTTTTCGATGTTGGGTGAATTGGTTGCAGCAAGCTGGCCGTGGAGAGTTGACAGTACATTGTCCGGCTAGCAACCAAGCTAGCCGGACAATGTACTGTTGCAGGGAGGTGGGTCAGTAGTAGCTCAGGAGGAGAGTAGAATTAGGCTTAGGCTTAGGCTTAGGCTTAGGCTTAGGCTTAGGCTTAGGCTTAGGCTTAGAATTAGAATTAGAATTAGAATTAGAATTAGAATTAGAATTAGAATTAGAATTAGAATTAGAATTAGAATTAGAATTAGAATTACAGAGTTGGAAGGGACCTTGTGGGTCATCTAGTCCAACCCTCTCCATATGTTGAAGCTACCTGGGGTAGTCATGCAGGAGCCCATTGAAGGGTTGGGCAAGGGGTCCCAGGCTGCCATCGGGATGGGGGGGGGGCTCCTCAGCTTCTCCCAGACCCTGAACATCCCCCTTCCAAGCAGGGCTTCACTCTGGCTCTCCCATCCTTCCTGAGGGGGGGGGCTGTTCCTCAGCTGAGCCTGGGTGCTGAGCCTTTGTTGCTGAGGGGCTTCGGCTTCTTCCTTTCAGGCAGGGACCATCCCAAGACCCACTGGGACATCCCCTGCAGGCCCCGGACCCACCAGGTCCCACTCAAGAATCCTTGGATCCAGCTGCTCCCCGTGGATGTCTTAATAGGGGCGTTTAGCCTCATCCTCCACCAGAGGCCCAGCCTTGGATCACTTCCGCAATATTAGGGGGACGCATCCCCAAATTTGGGAGAAGAGTTTCTCCGAAACAAACCAGGAAACGGCTTCCTCTCTCTCTCTTGGGCCAGACCCCACAGATTCAGAGGAGAAAAAAGAGGGACGGGGGGCGGGGTGCAGGAAGGAGCCGGGGCTGGAGACAAGGGAGGCCAGCCTGCAGGAGCCGATGGTGGCAGAAGGCGGCAGTTCCTGCGTGGCAAAACCGCAGACCGGATCTGTCACCTTCTGCCACCCTCGGCCCGGTGTCGCTTGGCAGCTGGGGCCAGGGGCCGGGCCCTGCATATCTGAGGCTGTGCTGGTAATTTTGGTCGGGCGTTCTTCAGGGACGCCTGGCAGAAAACAGGCCAGACTCACGACAATCCCAAGCAGAATAAAAAGAAGGCAATTAAAGGAAACACAGGACGGGCAATTACAGCGTAGATTAAAGCAATTAAACCCCAGAGTTCAAAACCCGGGGAGAGATCCAGGAAGGAAGCCCCACCCTGAAGAACCGGTCACTGCCTGCCTTGCCTCAGCCGGGAGGGACCTTCTCCATCTGCCAGGACGGGACCGAGTGGCGCTGGGTGCCAAATTCCTCACACCTTGCACGCAGCTCTCTCTGGCTCCTCGGAGCTGCTTCGCGTCCCTTCGGCAGTATTGGACTTCAGTCCCCATAATCCTGGGCCAGTAGCACCGACGGTTGCACGGGAGGGAGAGGCTGGCCGATGATCCGCAGCTTTTCCGGAGCAGACCACTTTGGTGAAGCTGGGATGACGAGGGGACAGGGAGTCCTTGACTTACAGCAGTTTGTTTAGTGACCGAAGTTGCAACAGTTGAAAAAAGTGACGTGTCCGTTTTTCACACTTAATGACTGTCACAGCATCTCCATGATCAAAACTCAGAGGCTTGGCAACTGGTTCATACTTAGGACGGTCGCTGTGTTCCTGTGTGTGTGTGTCATGTGATCCCCTTTTGCGACCTTCCAACAAGCAGTGGGGGAGCCAGACTCACTTAACAACCACAGTGATTCACTTAACAACCATGGCAAGGAAAGTCATTGAATGGGGCAAAACTCACTTAACATAAATCTGAGGCTCCATCGTTGTCGTAAGTTGAGGACTGCCTGTAAAGGCAGGAGGCCTCTCACCTGCTGCTTTGCTCAAAGCCCCCTCCCCAAAATGGGACAAAAGTGGCTGCTTTGAGGGAGCCCAGGAACAGACCTGGCATTTGGCCCCCCAGGCATGCAAAACAGCCCTGAAATGAACCTCATGGAGTCCTCTGGACCCCAAAGCGCCTGGTTCGCCCTCTTTCCTCCCTCCTCTGCCCTCCAGGCACCCGGCTGCCCAGCGCAATTGCCCCCACAGCACAGCTTGCTTTATTTCGGAGGCCGGCCTAACCTGGCCAGATGCAGGTCAGGGGAAAGAGGCTGCAGTGGACTAGGAGGGCTCCGCCAGCTGACCTGGGAGGCCTCTGGAGAAGGTAACCCATCCACACAAGCAGCCTGGGCCCAAACTCGCTTTCTTCACCCAAAAATCTACTTGCTCCCCGCCTCTCTGGACACTGCCTGACTGGATTTCCAGAGAGGTCGTCCTGCTCGCCTCTCGGGTGGCAAATTGGCAGGAGCTGCGGCCGAAAAGGGAGCAAATGGGTTTCTACAGAAGCTGCTCTGGATCACCGTCTCCTCCATCCAGCAGACCTTACGGTCTTCTTCCCTCATAAATACTTCCTTGATTGATAGGGATGGCCCTCCTCCTCCTCCTCCTCCTCCTCCTCCTCCTCCTCCTCCTCCTCCTTTCCAGCACTGATGATGTTACCTAGATCGGTCATGAAACATCTGCAAGAAAACAGCGGAAGTTCAGAGAAGGACAAGGACCCCATACTCCTCCTCCCTCCATTTTCCTCCTCCTCCTCTCCCCTCCATTCTCCTCCTCCTCCCCTTCCCCCCTCCTCCTCTTCCTTCTCTTCCTCTTGTGATACTTGACAAATGCCTCTCGGGCAGCTCCAGAGCCAGACCTTCTCCCCCCCCCCCCCGGGTAGCAACAGGAACTTCTGAGTCTCAGGCAGCAGTTTCCATCTGACCAAGGATGCCAACGTGGGATCTGGGATCTACCCTGTGTCATTTCCAGCAGTGATACCTTGAAGGTGGTGGTGGTGGTGGGGAAATCCCAGGAGGATGAAACGTCGATCTTATTGCTCTTTTGAGCTCTGGGGTCCCACAGCATCCATTCAAGATGTCTGTGAGATCCACGTGAACATTCTTCATCTTTTTACAGAGTGTCTTGGAAAGTTTCCTCTTTCAGGATAAAATCCAAAATTCACACAGGATGCAAGACTCAGTGACTTCCCAGATGTATTTTATGCAGCTGGGAAATCTGTTTGTTGAATATACGGATGGTTGTGTCAAGCACGAAAGGCCAGGTCCACACGTGAAGGTTCAATTCAACTGATTTATTGCTAAAAGCCTACGCAGAGGAATCTTCTCAACTAATGGCCAGCACTGGTTAGAGATAGACAAGAGTCGATGGAATTCAAGGGAAGTTGGACTTTGTTTGCTTGTGGCTACATAGGGATGCTAGGCTGATTCCTCTTTTGACTCCGCCCCGGGTTCTGCCATCTGTTCTCCTACAGGTTGATTATTTTGAAAAGAGCTGAGTTTTTACAAGGACTGAGTCTTCACGCAGAGGGCTCTCTTCACGGCAATCTCTTTCCTTCCAGGAGATGTTTGGCTACAAGACCCACGGCTTCCGGAGGGCCCTGTGCCTGGCTGGCTACGTCCTGTCCTGCGGAGGCCTCCTGCTTCTCTTCCGCTGGAAACCCGAGTGGGACGTCTGGGCCAACTGCCAGCCCTGCAGCTTGGAAGAGGCCGACGTGGTACTGCTCAGAACCACAGTAGGTCCCCCCCTCCTTTCCTCCTCCTCACGGGAGCTGGGCCTCCAAAGGAGAGTATCTGTAGCTGGGTGGGGTGGGGATGGGACACAGTGAGGGCTCCTTGGTGCTCTCTGAGCTTGGTGGTTTCCTTGCAGACTTTTCATTAGGCAAAGTAGGTAACGTCATCAGTGCTAATCACGCTTAACTGCCAAAGAGGGTGAGGAATGAAAGAAAAACAGAGGAAGGAATTACAGTTTTACATTCCTGAGAAATTATTGGGGTTTGGGAGACTGGGTGGATCTTGCTTTTGATCTGGAACCTCCCTTGTTCTTGAGTCACTCTCCTCTCCTCACCTGAATCTATCAGCGATGGTGGGCTGGCCAGGACAGACCCCGCGAAGGGTTTCCAGCAAAAATGGGTCCGGTGGGGGAGAAGATAGAAAGAACGGAAAGAACCTCTAAGAGCGGAAGGATCGAGGGCCGTGATAATTTGGGCATTAGTATTTGATTGGGACAGGGAAGATTTCACAGCTGTCTTGAGTTAAAACCCCAGAACAGTGTTTCCCCAACCTTCTCCGTTTTAAGGTGTGTGGACTTCAACACCCAGAATACTCCTGCCAACCAGCTGGGGTGTTCTGGGAGTTGAAATCCACACATCTTAAAATGGAGAAGGCTGGGAAGCATTGACCTAGACCAGAGGTGCCCAAACTTGGCAACTTTAAGGCTTGTGGACTTCAACTCCCAGAAAAAGTCTTAAAATTGCCAAGTTTGGGGACCCCTGATCTAGACCAGGGGTAGGCAACCTTGGCTCTGGGAGTTGAAGTCCATTCTGGGAGTTGAAGTCCACGAGTCATAAAAGAGCCAAGGTTGCCTACCCCTGGTCTAGACGAAGGTGAATGCCAACCAGAAGGGGCTCTGATGAAGAAGATGCTCAGGTGGGCAGGAAGATGGCTGCCTGCTGGTCTCCAAGACTCACCCTGGGGCCAACTCCAGGCAGCCTTTCGGTGGATTTGGCAGCTGGTCCCTGCAGGGGACTTTCAGAAAAGAACCCGGCTGTGCTGAACGGGACATTTGTGTTCCTCCTCTCCCTCTTCTAGCCTGTGTTGTGTCCCTCCACAATTTCTGCTCTGTTTCCTCAGGATGAATTTCAGATTTGCACCCAGAGAAAGGTGACCTGGACCCCTCTGTCTGCCCACTTGAAACCCAGCTCTCTTGGCACGGACGAGGAGGAGGAGGAGGAGTCCCTCCTGAACAGGGTCATCGTGAAATCAGACTTCAAGGTAAAGATGGAGTCCCACCACCTTCTGTGGAGCCCGAGAAGCCTTCAAAAGGGACCGAAGGATGGGACGAGCAGATACAAGGGTGGTGGACTGCTTTTGCCACTCAGCTACCCACCTAGGCTTGGAGAACTGCTAGGGGTCCTGCCCCCTCAGGCCCAGCAGAAAAGGCTGGAGCTGGGCAGAGCCAAGCCTTTAATCCTCTTACCAGGCTCAGCCGAGCGAGGGGGGCACTGCCAGGCTTCTCCCGTGAGCTGCTGGGAGGTGAAACTGGGACACGTCTCTTAATAATAAGATAATAATAATAATAATAATAATAATAATAATAATAATAATAATAATAATAATAATAATAATAATAATAATTAAAAAAAAAAAAGTTGGAAGGTACCTTGGAGGTCATCTAGTCCAACCCCCTGCTCAGGCAGGAAACCCTACACCATTTCAGACAAATGGCTGTCCAGTCTCTTCTTAAAAACTTCCAGTGTTGGAGCATCCACTGCTTCTGGAGGCAGGTTGTTCCACTGGTTGGAATATGATAATATTCACACAGACTCACACAGAAGTCAGAACAAGAAATCGTGGGATTGGAATGGACCCTACAGATAATCTAATATTGCACGTTATTTTAGGAAAAAACGAACAATTATTTAAAAATGCCACCAAGGAAGACAAACTTTTGCTGGAGCTTGCAATAATGATGATGATGATGATGATGATGATGATGATGATGATGATGATGATGATGATGATGGTGGTGGTGATGATGATGATGATGATGATGATGATAATAATAAAGTTGGAAGGGACCTTGGAGGTCATCTAGTCCAACCCCCTGCTCAGGCAGGAAACCCTAGACCATTTCGGACAAACGGCTGTCCAGTCTCTTCTTAAAAACTTCCAGTGTTGGAGCATTCACCACTTCTGGAGGCAACTTCTGTTCCACTGGTTAATTGTCCTCACTGTCAGGAAGTTTCTCCTTAGTTCCAGGTTGCTTCTCTCTTTGATGAGTTTCCATCCGTTGCTTCTTGTCCTGCCTTCTTCAGGCGCTTTGGAGAATAGCTTGACTCCCTCTTCTTTGGGGCAGCCCCTGAGAGATTGGAACACTGCTATCATGTCCCCCCTCGTCCTTCTCTTCGTTAAACTAGACATTCCCAATTCCACCCAATTCCACACCAGGGCAGAAATTCCCCAGATGCTCTCCCTAGAAGCCCCAGCTCCCATAATACACAGCCATGCTGCTTGGGAGGGAGATGCGGTTGTATTCCACACCTCGGTGGGGGTCCAGGTTGGAGAAGGTGTCCCCACCTGTCCCCACTGCCAGCTGGAAAACTCCCACCTTGCTTCTCGGGGTTACCTGGTGACTTTATTGTGTCTGGATGCCTTTAGAAGAAGCTTCTTGGATGAGAAGCAAAAAGGTTGCAAGGGAAAAAATGCCCCCCCCCTGAAACTGGAAATAAATGCTGGAAACTGACAAAAAAAATAACCCTTCAGAATTTTTCATTCATGCGAAGCTGGTTGACCTCTGCCCAAATGTGATCACAGGACTTGTGGGCATCAAGAACGTCTTTTTTTGAGGTTCTGATGCCCACAAGTCTGTTGTAACTTTGGGTGGTCATTAAGGGGGAGGTCCATTGTAACTGAGCGGTCATTAAGTGAGGAATACCTGTAATAGTTTTTCTTCCCCCCCCCCTCAAGCTCTCCAGTGTTGTCCCCTCACCCAGCCGGTTCGCCTTTTCCTTAAGCCTAAAGCTCGGCAGGCAGTGTGGGGCCCCCTCCAGGCCTGGAAGCAGCGCTGACCCCCATCCCCTCACCACGCCTGCTGTCCTTGCTTGCCCTCACAGGTGCGGTCCCTCCAGGTGCAGAAGATCCGCTACGCCTGGGACTTCTCTGCTCGAGAGTTTCGGAAGGTTGGGTGAGTCCAGTTCTGACCGCTGGGGAAGGAGGCACGGCCGAAGGAAACCCCCCTCCCTTGTGTACCACCAGCTGGACCCTCTTCCTTTTCAGAGTCCTGGAGGACCACCACAGTTGCCTGGAGATGCATGCCAAGTTTGGGGCGGGGCTGACAAGCCCCGAGCAGGAGCTCAGGTACTCCCCCTCAGCAGGGCCAACACACACCTGATCAGGCAGAAAGCTGTGCTTGTGTTCATGGGTCAACGTGTGGGGAATCTCTTGGCACACGAGGACCACCAGGCCACCTTCACCCACAAGGTGGAGGGGATCTGCCATTGCTCTTTATGGGAACACAGTCCCGGTGAAGCTTCTCCACAGAGAATCTCCACAGACAGGTCCTGGTGGGTTTCTTACTTGTTGAGATGGAATGGCCAGCCCCAACAGCATCTCCCCACCTCCCAGGCAAGTACCCCTCGCAGGCCGAGGCCTTTTCCAGACATGGGGGCCCTTCTCTACTGCCAGTATCAAGCCACTTGCTCAGCTTCCGCAGGCCTCTGCTGGTTTGTAGTAGCAGCCCAGCTTCCTTCTTCCATTCATTTATTTGGGTTGGCCATGGTCATAGTCAAGGCCATGGTTTTCCCAGTTGCAATGTATGGATGTGAAAGTTGGACTGAGCGCCAAAGAATGGAGGCCTTTGAACTCTGGTGCTGGAGAAGACTCCTGCGAGTCCCCTGGACTGCAAGGCGTTCAAACCTGTCAGTCCTGGAGGAGATCAACCCCGACTGCTCTTTAGAAGGCCAGATCCTGAAGTTGAAACTCAAGTTCTTTGGCCACCTAATAAGAAGGAAGGACTCACTGGAGAAGAGCCTAATGCTGGGAAAGATGGAGGGCAGTAGAAGAAGGGGACGACAGAGAAGGAGGTGGCTGGATGGAGTCCCTGAAGCAGGAGGCGTGAGCTTCAATGGACTCCAGAAGATTATGGTAGAGGACAGGAAGGCCTGGAGGAACGTTGTCCATGGGGTCACGATGGGTCGGACATGACTTCGCAATTAAGAACAACACAATCTGAAGGTTCACATTGAAGTGTTGTAATTTGAGGTGTTACCAAGAGAAGATAATCTTTGTAGCTTAGGGTGGAATTGTGGGGTCCTTGGTGCTCTCTGAGCTTGGATGGTTTCTTGCAGACATTTCATGACCCAAATTAAGTAACATCATCAGTGCTAGAAACCTCACCAAAAATATTACCTACTTGGGTCATGAAACATCTGCAAGAAAACATCCAAGCTCAGAGAGCACCAAGGACCCCACAAGTTTGAGGTGTAACCTGCTGGTGGCCCCTTGGACAGCATTTTGGACAAGAGCTGGGATATCAAAACACAGGTAGATAAAGGAAGCTATGGGGCAGCTCCTTGCTCCCAGAGGTGTGGGGGGGCAGTTCTAGTTTGGGAAGGACCTGGGGATATCTTCCAGGTCTTCCAAGGACAGGCTCTGCTTCAGGAGACACTGCACACCTGACAGCAGAAGCCCCCCCAAGCCCAACTCCAGGCATTGGGAAGAGCTGTTGGGGAAAACCATGTCTCCTGTTCCCGGAGCAAAACAAGCACCAAGGCCCTGCAAGTTGAGAAATGGCTTCAGTGTTTGGCCTCGGAGGTGGACCCTGAGGTCATCTCTCCCTTCCGTATCCACAGGAGAGAAGTCTGTGGCCCCAACGCCATCGACATTGAAGTCACGCCGATCTGGAAGCTGCTGGTCAAGGAGGTACTTCCCTTTCGGTGGACTAGCTTCTCTGGCAGGTTCTGTGAGCCAAGGTGGAGAATTGGGGTGTCTTGGGCTTCTCTTTCCTCCCCACGCAAAGAGCATCTCTTGGTCCTTCTGCATCCTAGTCCAGTGGTGGCGAACCTATGGCACGGGTGCCAGAGGCGGCACTCAGAGCCCTCTCTGTGGGCACGTGCGCCGTCGCCCCAGTCCTGGGCCTTCAGCTGGTTTTATAAAACCTTTTCGCTTTAGGCCTCCACCCCGCATGTGCAAAAAAAAAAAAAAAGGTTCAATCAATCAGTCAATTTCAACTTTTCACAGGGAAAAAAAAGATCTTGCAAAGTTGGAATTGATTGATTGAACTTTTTAGTCTCCCCCCCCAGTCTGCCGTTACCACTGCAGCCATGCCCACCCAATGGGTCACGCCCACCCAATGGGCCACACCCACCCGGCACCCGACGATGCATAAGTGGGTTTTGGGTTGCAGTTTGGGCACTCGGTCTCTAAAAGGTTCGTCATCACTGCTCTAGTCATTCCTTGGTGGTTCTGCACGCCGGCCCTTGGTGGACCTTCTTCCAATGGCAGAAAAGAACCGCAGCCGATTCCTCCTTTGAGACAGTCTCCTGTCTTGGTTTGTCCACTGTCCGCCTGGCAGCAGGCGAACACTTTTGTCTTCCTCGTCCCCAGCTCCCTTTTTGGTACAGGAAGCACTGGGACCCTGCTAGAACTCCCAAGGGGAGGCCTTCTGGAAGTCTCCACACCAGCAGCGTTTTCCTCCTCTTGCGGCTTTAGAGATGGCAACCTGCAGTTTTTCTCCAGCACTGATCCCTTCTGGCTCGTTTCTAAGGGTTTATCTGACTGCTGTCTTCACCTCCTTTGCTCCTGACCTGTGAAAATGTCCAGATGTAGCCTGCCCAGCTGTTCCAGACTGTGACGCTCCTGACATCCCAGGGAATCTTCTGATCGTGTTCACTTTATGAGCTCAGGGCTCCTTGCTCCTGCACTTCTTAAAATGGACACACGAGTCAGAATAACAGAGTTGGAAGGGACCTTGGAGGTCTTCTAGTCCAACCCCCTGCTCAAGTAGGAGGCCCTCTACCATTCCAGACAGGTGGATGTCCAGCCTCTTTTTAAAAACCTCCAGTGATGGAGGCACCCACAACTTCTGGAGGGAAGCCGTTCCCCTGGTTTATCGTTCTCACTGTCAGGAAATTTCTCCTTAATTCCAGGTTGCTTCTCTCCTTGATGAGTTTCCATCTGTTGCTTCTTGTCCTGCCCTCTGGAGCCTTGGGGAATAGGCTGACCTTCTGGGTGGGGGGTGGTCATCCTCACCATCGGGGCCAGTGAACTTTCAGCCCTGTGGATTGGTGCGCCTTCCCTGAAGTGGCTCAGATGATCCCTGTACGGAGGTCTCCCAGCCACCTTTCTGCTCATTGCCAGAGAGAGAGAGAGCGGAGAGAACTTGGGTGGGCAATGGGGGGAGGGGGGAAAGGGGGGCTCCTACCAATTCAGCTCAGCCAGAGAAGGTTCCCTTGTGGGGACAACCTCCGTAGGTGCCAACCCACCTGAGCAGCCCTGCGCAGGGGCCCTGGCACAGTCCCGGCAAAGCTACCGTACGTTTCCTGCTGCTTTTTGAGAGCCAGATTAGCAGCTCAGTCAACAAAGGATTTATTCAGCCAGAACATTCTGTCTTTTCTGGAGTAGCAATTCCTGTTTCTGCAGCTCTGGGCAATTCCTGTGAAGATTTTCTGAACCCGGTCGAGTGGTTTAATCTTACCTTAATTAAAATCCTGCTTGCAAAAAGGCCCCAAGAGATTCCAAATTGATTCCTTTCTGACAGGGTTTTTCTCGGAGCCATGGGGAGGATGCGAAGCAAGGGACTCAGCCCCTCTGCTCAGCCATGCTGGTGGGGCTGTCCGGGGTCCACGTGGCCTTGGCGCAGCTGCAGGTGCAACAGGAGGTTGTCCCTCCTGGGAAATGGCTCTCTGCCCTTTGGCCAGGCACGGGGTCAAGGGTTGTGCTCCAAACAACGTCTGGAGGCAACTTCTGTTCCACTGTCCTCACTGTCAGGAAATTCCTCCTTAGTTCCAGGTTGCTTCTCTCCTTGATGAATTTCCATCCGTTGCTTCTCGTCTTTCCTTCTCATGCTTTGGAGAATAGGTTGCCCCCCCCCATCTTCTTTGGGGCAGCCCCTGGGACACTGGAAGACTGCTATCATGTCCCCCCTTGTCCTTCTTTTCTCTAGACTAGACAGACCCAATTCCTGCAGCTGTTCTTCGTGTGTTTTAGTCTCCAGTCCCCTGATCATCTTTGCTGCTCTTCTCTGCACTCTTTCCAGAGTCCTAACCTCTTTTTTCGTATTGTGGTGACCTGACCTAACCACCAGGTTCTTTCTTCCCCTTCCCAGGTGCTCCATCCATTTTACATCTTCCAAGTCTTCAGTGTCTGCCTGTGGTTTGCAGAGAATTACACGGAGTATTCTGTGGCCATAATCATCATGTCCCTCCTTTCCATTTCACTCACTGTGTATGACCTCAGAAAGGTGAGCACCTCCCTGTCCCTCCCTGGTCACCAAAGTGTCTTCTCATCACCAGCCTGAGGCATTGATTGGTAGCTAATCGGTTCATTCTGTCTCATCTTCCTGGCAAGTCCTGTCCTGATGCTGCCACCAACCAGGATTTGCCCGGCCCCTACAAGAGCTCAAATGCATGGAGCATCTGGTGGGGTTGGAGCCTTGGGCTGCCCCCCCCCCGGGTGCTTCCTGGATCTGGATGAATGTTGCCAGCTGCTTCAGGGGTTTCCCGGCATTTGTGGGGCAGTTCCTGGTGGGCTACTAGGAACAGGAGGTGACCTGGGTTCAACAAAATTGCTCCAAAGCACAGATCCTGGAGAGACCCTGGGTTGACCAAGAAATTCTAAGAGACGAAGCAGCACAAGTTAACCTGGAAGAAGGCAAGGCGT